TGTCTCAAATGAAAAAGAAGGAAGGGAGCTAGAGAAATGGTCAGTGCTTAAAGGCCCTTATTATTCTTTCGAAGGACCATGGTTCAGTTCCCAGCACCCACAAAGCGGCAAACAACCACCTGTAACTCCAGGGTATCCAACACCCTCTTCTGACTTCCGAGTCATTGCACGACATGGGTACAGGCAATACACTCATACACGTAAAATAAAAATAATAAAGAAAATTTTTTTTTTTTAAATTTAAGAAAACTAGATTCCATTCCAGTTCCACCTTCCAAAGAAGCACCCAGGCCAGAGGATGTGGCCAGGCAGTTCCTGAGAGTCTCAGAGCTAAGAGCCCAGTGTTCCAGGACCAGCAATCCACTGCAGAGCCCAGGAACTGGGGCTTCCCCTGATAAATCAGGAAAAGCTCAGCTGTGTGCAGGAAACGCTGCTCTCTGGTTATCTGCACCTGCGGGTGGTGTGACCACATAGGTGTCTGCTTGGACACACAGACTAACTCCTTGATTATTTACTCCTTGATTTATTTACAAAGAAGGCTATGAACTTTGCAGACCAGCTCCAGTCTATTGCAGAAGTTCCTAAGTGAGGCTCCAGGTCTCTCTCTCTCTCTCTCTCTCTCTCTCTCTCTCTCTCGAAAAATATGATGGAGAAGAGAGGAAGCCTCATGAGTTCATCATGTTTGAACATAAGATTAAGGAAACACACCTTGTTTTACTGTTTCTCTCTCTCTCTCTCTCTCTCTCTCCCTTCCTCCCTCTCCCCCTCTCCCTCTCCCTCCCTCCCTCCCTCCCTGTTAGGGTCTTGCTATATAGCCCTAGTATTTACTCTGTAGTCTAAGCAGGCCTCGAATTTGAACTGGAAGTAGTCCTCCTGTCCCAGCCTCCTTCCCGGGCCTCCCTTAGATCCTTCCTGCCTTTTACCTTGGATCCCTCTTCCCAGCCTTTCCTGGGCGCCAGCGCCGGACCCTGGTCCTCAGGACGCAGGGAGGGTCCGCAGCCCATTGCTTGCCTCGCTCCTCCTCCCAGGCAGCGCCCAGGGAGCTTCCTGAGCCGGTGGGTCCAGCTTCCCGGCCCCGCGCTCCCTCCTCTCGCACCTCCAGGCTGGGCAGGAGGCTCTAGACATCTGGGCAGTTGCTGGGAACTGTTGCCACAATAAACCGCGTCACGTGGACCTGGGACCTGAGCGACGAAGGGACTTGGGTAAGGGAAAATGAAAAGATTTGGAGACGCGATCCACATCTCAACTAGGATGCTAATTGCAGATCTGTCCAAGGGTGAGTGAAGGGTCGGCAGGCCGAGTCTACGCATCCCGCCCGACGCCCTTCTTTGTCACGGCAAAGACTGCAGGGACCGTGGGACACGCCCTCACTCTGGCTACTTGGTTCAGGCTTTAGAGTTGTCAGACCCCGAGGCATCTCGTGGAAGGCGACTCACACCGCCAGGCCTTGCAGAGTCCTCTGAGTACAGACATACAACCAGAAGGCCAAGTCACAGGGCACGACCTCAGGAAAGATGGTCACACCAGAAACAAACCCACTCCGCGAAGAAAATCACACAGGACCACAGAAAGCTCGGCAGCTGCCAGCAGGTCTTGCAAATCGTTTTTTTTTTAAGTTGTTATCCTGCGAGGAAAGGGGAGAGTATGCATATATTTTTGCAGAGAATTAAACAATGGTGCAATTCCTCAAGAAAAGCAGACAAGGACTTCTCAGAAGAGGAACAAGTCAGTCCTTCCGAAATCTGTCTCTTTTCATCCTACTTTCTACTAGAAGTAGAGTTCAAAGGGTCTTTGAGATGTCCTGACCCTGCAATTCCAGGCTGCAAATGTAGGCTCAGAGAAGATGAGCTACTCTCCCGACTCTCCGGAAGATAATCTCCAGGGAGCAGCTTATTAAAAGAAGCTGTAAAGAGGACCCAGGGGGGGCCCTGCCCAGTCCCTGCATGACTCCAAACAACAGGAAAATACAACTTAGGCTTCTTGGAAATGCAAAACTACCGCAGTTTTTCCAAGGAGTTCAGTGGCCAGCTTTATTCTCAGTAGCTGGTTATTTACAAGATGAGCTACTCTCCCGACTCTCCGGAAGATAATCTCCAGGGAGCAGCTTATTAAAAGAAGCTGTAAAGAGGACCCAGGGGGGGCCCTGCCCAGTCCCTGCATGACTCCAAACAACAGGAAAATACAACTTAGGCTTCTTGGAAATGCAAAACTACCGCAGTTTTTCCAAGGAGTTCAGTGGCCAGCTTTATTCTCAGTAGCTGGTTATTTACTTTATAGTATTTATTTATTTATTTATTTATTTATTTATTTATTTATTTATTTATTTATTTGTTCCTTGGCCATGATCTTTGTAATGGTCCTGTTGAGGGATCACTTCTGAACCTCATTCCTGTGTGGGTCTAGTTGGGAAATCCGGGGTCCTCATTCTGGTGAAAGTCCAGCTGAGCTGACCTCTCCTCCACTGACATCCATACAGGGGGTCTGACAGGGCACCCTTAGCCTTGATCCTGAAGGGCAGTCAAAGTCATCATCACCACCACAGCCCCCTGGGGGGAACATTTCCGGCTAGCTCTGGGACTGAAGATTCTGATCCACTCATTCTTTGGGCTCAATCCAGGCAGCTGGTACCCCCCCATCTTGGCAGAGTAAACCTGCTGTTACTATTACTGTCTGCTGAAGTTCCTCTCTGCCCACTGGCAGGGTCCACTGCCTCCTACACAGCCAGTCTGAATTCCAACACCCTACATACCTGGCTGGGATACAGGCTATGAAGTGGGCAGGGATGGCCTGACTGGGGTTAGGGAGGTTAGGGAAGGCCTTGACATTTGAAGACAGGCTCCCACTTGAGGACCTAAATCCTGAACTGTTCTGGGAATCTTGACATCCTCTCTGAATCTTGGCTTCTAAGACCTTCCCAATACATTATGGAACAGGTGTGGTCATCATGACTGAGAGAGGTCAAGGCCACCCTATGGTTCAGACAGAAACACGAAATAGAGTGAGGTCCTGGATCTCCCTGGCTAGCAAGAGATACTGGTCCCTTCCCTGCTTAAGCTCCATCGCCCCCATTCTTTCCTCCTCGGGGGGCTCCACCAACCCTGTCCAGCTTCCCTTCTGTGCCTCAGCTGAAGCCTTTCCAGTATCCACCTCTATGGAAGGTGGCTCCTGTCTTCCTCCCACAAGTCTTGGCTTATAGTCCCAAAGCTGGGGAAGGGAAACAGAGAGAGGGTGGTTACTCTGAACAGACTGACCTCACCTGGCATGAGGGGCTGTGTGTTAGGGGTGGGCACCGAGCATTTTCCAGAATGAAATGTGTGACTTCTGTCCAACTGGAGGCTCCTGTGTGATTTGTTTACATGTGTGTTCCCAGCATGCAACTGATTCAGAATGGTTGCTGAGGAGTCTGCATCACAGATGACCAAGGGAAGAAGCAGCCTGAAAATGGCCATGGGCCCCCTAGGCTTGCTGGCTCCCAGCTGCCCTGAGCCCAAGAATGTCTATAGAAATAGCTCAGGTACAAGATGCTGCATCCAAGTGGGAAGCAAGAGGAAGAACGTCAGGAAATCCAAGGGTGTGTCTTCCTAGACCGGTTCTTGGATCACACCCGGATACCATTGTCACCCACAGGGACTAATCCCAGGACCTGGGAGGTGGAGGCAGGAGGACAAGGAGTTGTTCAAGGCCATCCTCAGCTACACAGTGAGTTTGAGGTCATCCTGAGCTACATGAGACCCGGTCTCAAAATAAAAATCAATCAACCAGCCAATAAAATGGAGGAGCCAATAGTCCTATTTCCTTCTGGAAGCTACAAGAAAACCGATTTCCCTAGATTTTCTAGCTTCTAGAGCTGCCTTCCTTGCTTCTGGTTCCTTCAGAGCCAGCAACAGAGCATTTCCAAATTTCCTTGACCTTCCTATTATAGTATTTATTTATTTATTTATTTATTTATTTATTTATTTATTTATTTTAGTTCAGGCTGGCCTCAGCTCCCTAGGTAGCTCAGGATAACCTTGAACTCCTGATCCAGCTAAGATTACAAGGTGTGCCACCACCACATCCATCTTATTTTTAGTTTTTATGCTTTTGGTTCTTTTCAGACAAATTCTTGCTATATAGTCCTGGTTGACCTGGTCCCAACTTTGTAGCTCAAGCTGCTTTTCAACTCACAGCGTACCTCCTGCTTCAGCCTCCAATGGTATTTCAGGTATGAGGCATCTTTCCTGGCTCTACTTTACAGCACTCAAACACTCTCTTGCCCTCTTACTGTTCAAATGATGTTGCTTATCAATTTTCCCTTTACTGTGTGGACACAAGAGCATAACTCTCACCCTCAAAGGGATAAGAGAAGGTTTATTCTGGAGTCAAATACGAGTGACTGTGATCCGGGAACACAGATTCAGGCTGCCCCAATTCCATGTTCCAATGTGGTAACTGTTTCATTAAGTTGTATAGTAACAGAACAAAGAAACGTCATAAATCAAGATACTTTTCAAATACATTGGTGGCAGTAAGTAAGCAGATACAGCAAAAGAGAAATCTTATCTATAGGCCTCAGATGCAGTCTGATGTCTCTCTTAGCCTTTCGTTTGGTGGGAACTATTTCTTTTGTTAATACATTTTATTAGTCACAGAATGTTAAGTCAGAAAAAGAGGTGAAAAGGATTGGATGAAATGTATATAGGCTCTGGATTTGCAACGTTCCAAATGTGAAACCCTCCTCTGGGTCCCCCTGCCCTGGGCTCCTGAGACCCCTGCCCCTCTTTAGGAATAACGGCTCTTTCTCGCTTCTGTAAAACGCTTGATTGCTAGGCTGAGAGGACAAACTGCACTGGCCCCATTTTGACTAGTTGTTTCAGGCAAGCCTGGACCTGTCCAGGTGTGTCGTAATCTCCACCTACTACCCCCACCCCAGGAGGCTATAGATCAAGCAGGCCCAGGCACATAGCAGCCTTATAAGGTAAGAACATAGGCTTCTGGTCTCACAGATAACAGTCAGCACATTCCATAGCTCTGAGGGTAGCACCCACCAATGAGAAACCCCCAGGGCGCATGCGGGCTCCTCGGACCAATCAAGATGTAACTCTGTTATTCCCCTCCTGCCTTGGTCTAAAACCTATAAAAGGCTTCCTCCCCCTGGGCTCTCAGCACAGATCCATTGCGTTGGTGAGGTCTGAGAGCCCGAGCTTAAGCCCGAATAAAGACTCTGTTCTTGCATGCCCTCTGGATTCCGTGGTTATTCTTGGGGGTCCGTTCTCTGGGCACAACACAAACTCTCCATAATCTTTGAAGTGCTAATCAGTTGGTCAGTCTTGCAGGAAATTCAGTCCAAGATGCAGGATTTTCTGGGAACCTTTTGTTTCACAACTAAAATTGAGAGAGGAGATGGATGAACCTCAGGTACAAGCCTCGTAATTGTGCAACAACAAACAGTGAAGATTTATGAATGAAGAGTTGAAACAAGGCCAATGGATGTTTGGGGACCATCTCTAAAAACATTGACTCATGAATGAACTAAGTTACTTTGGAAAATTCTCACCTAGTATAATCCAGTGCAAAGAATGTCTGTAAACTTGTTCTTGGGAAAGTTCAATGGATGTCACTAAAATTGAAAGAGTGAAATGTTGCAAACAATGGTTTGTTTTTCTTTTAAGGCTATCTGTGGACAGGAGTTTTCAGGGAATGAATAGGGTGATATAAAAAGGCGGGCCTCTTTTGCAGCATTTTAGGGTTATAGTCCAAAATGTGGAAATGTCCTTTTCCTAGGAGTACACTAGGACCCACTGGTGCTGGCTCCTGAGAGCCAATCACTAGGACTTTAAGAGTTCACTTGCTAAACATAACCAATATTAAAACTAAATTACACAAAGCATTTATGTTGAAATCGTGGCAATGAATAGAACCACACTTTGAATAGCAAGGGTGTGGATCACCTCTGAGTATCATTACTCCAAAAGACAGAAAGGAAAAGAGAGAAATGGAAGGAAGGGGTGAAGAGGAAGCAGAAAAACTAACAGGAAGTCCATGTGAGGGGCCGGGCTGGAGGAAAAGAAACACTGGCCTCATTTTATTAAAAAATGAGTCCAGAGAGATCTCTATGCCAAAAGTAAG